AAAGTGATAGTGCATTGTTAGGGTAATTTTCAATGGTAGTTTTTTTAATGGCTAATATTTATTAGATTCAATTTATAAATATCCATTCATTGTGTTTATCCTCTTATTTAAAATCTTTTGCTTCTGTATTGTAGGCTCTTTGATTGCTTGTGTTTTAGAAGGAGGATATAGAAAAAGTAACTCATATTTTTAATTATTGCTAAGTTGAAATCAGTGTTTAAATTTTAAACAAAGTTTTCAACAAAATTTAAATTTTAAACAGAATTTTAAACCTAATTGATTTAGTGTGTAATTCCTAAATATTATAGTTCCCTCTTCTGTCATTTCAGAGCTATTGCACTATGTTAAAATTTTCAGATTCATTTCAACATGTTTAAAAATTACCAATAGACTTAATTTGCTATTTGATTCCCTGAAGTGAAGACGTTTATGTCTCCTGGTTCTATGGCTAGTATTGCTTTTGAAATAATCGTTACCAAAAGTTATTTGTAGGAAACATAGGAGACTGGGACACAAGGTAGGTGATGCAATGAAGAAACACAAAGACAATTTTAGAATATAAGATACCTAACATGGTTTCTGCAAGTTAATGGTATGAGAAACAGTAAAAGGGTATCCCTAGGGAATTGATCTCACGTGAAAGAGTTGTGAAAAAATCATGGCCGTATACAGAGTGGTTCTCCTTTGGCTTCTGTTTAGATCAAGTTGAGTAAAAATTATTTTAAGACAGTAGGAAATTTGAATATTTACTAAGTTAGTATTATGGAAATATCATTTCATGAGAGGATTTAATGATTTTATGAGTATGAAAGGCAATGGCCAAGTCAGTTAAAGGTGCATAGTGATGTGCATGATTGGGTGAGATATTGACATGTTATCTGGGATTTACTTTAAATTGTGTTAGAAAAAAAGAATAAAAAGTGGAGTAATATTGGTAATACCTTGAGAAATTAATGAGCATGAGTGATCTGTGCATATATACTGGTTCTTTATACTTTTCTCCTTTAGTATGTATAATTTCAAAATTTTCATTAAAAATCCAAAGTTTTTTTCACTGACTGCATTTCCTTTTTTTGCTGTGACTACTCTTCTCCCAGTGTTTAAAAATGTTCATAAGTATTGTTAACAAATTATTTAGCTTTCCATAAAGAAAATGAGGCTTTTCCTGATACTTTCGTATTTCCTCATCTATTTTTTTTCTTACCAGTTATTACATCTACTGTAGTAAATCATTGTCTTGTTATGTCTTACCCCTTGAAATACAAATTCAATGAAGAAGGTTTTTTTTGTGAGTGTATTTTGTATATTGCCACATCTTCATTATCCATACCTTTCCAGTATGTGGTAGAACTTGGTAATATTTGAATGAATGAATGAATGAGTGAATGGGAATCAGAACTCTTAGAAGACTGAAGGCTTGGCCAAAGACAAATCCAAGAACTCATTTGAAACGTCACCCATGGATCTTTATGAGGGAAATGTTGGTGAAACCCCATAGTTTAGGAGAAAATGAAGCCCTCTCCCCAATGTTTGTAAAATCTTAGCATATCAGCCATTCACCATAGGGTCAGCAACAGAAATTGCTATACAGTAATAAAGTTATTATATTGTAGTTTCTCTTTCACATATTCTAAAAGTGTTTTTCTTCTTATCTCTTTATTACTGAAAGATTGCCTCTCCTTGAGATATGTATTCTGTTTAGTTTATTTCTCCCTAGGAAAAAAAGTTACTTAAAAATAGTGATTGGAATAGGCGAGGTGAGTTTAGAAGCTGTCTTTATAATTCCTTTTTACATGAAAAATCTATAATTTCATATTTTTACTTTGCCCATCAACTGACTTTCTACTTTTTTCAATATATATGTGTTTATAAGCCAGATTTTTTTAAATCTTGCTCTATGGACATCACAATAATCAGTTATCTACTTAAAAATAGATATTAGTTTTTTAACATGACTGTGAAGCACAGCTAATAATAATTGTGCTCAATAATTATGACTAAAAGTTGAGTTTTTAAAATATCTGAAACTTTAGAAACATTTTTATTTGATATCTTAAAATGACTTTTTTTGGAATTTCTGCTTTTACAGTGACTGAAGTGATTTTTATAATCAAGTAGCCTTGACTTAAGGCAAATACAAGGAAAAATTTCTATTGATTCTCAATTTGTTTTGATTTCAGGGCCACTTTAAACTCTAAAAAATTATTGAACATCCCAAGGAGATTTGATTTATGTAGGTTATATACCTTAATATTTTACCCTGTTAGAAAATAAAACAAGTTTAAAAGATACTCACTTAATTAAATACATTTAAAAATAAGTTAATTACATATTGACTTTTTGTTAGAGGGACAGAAACAGGCTTATTTCCCTGAAACAGCAACAGTAATGAGAAGAATGACATTGTTTTTCACTTCAGTAAATATATTTAGAGTCTGGCTCAATAGGAGACAGTTGGATTCTCTTAAGTGCTTCTCCATTCAGTCTGGTAATTATTATTTGCCCTGTAGTCTTAGGAAAACTTTACTTTATGTATGCTCATATAATGATACATTGAGAGTAAACACTTATAGTAACATAGTTATATTATTATAAAAATAGTTTTGCTCTCAGGCACTTCATGTGAAGGTCTTGGGAACCCTTAAGGTCCACATTTTGAGAACTGGAGTCATCTCTCCCCCCCAGTACTCATATGTGATAATATGGTGTTTTTAATTGCAAGAATAATTGTTTTTGAAAAATACAATAGTGCCAATCAGGTGAGTTTTCATGTGATACATTTTTACTTGAAAGGGACTATTAGTTTCTGTTTACATATGCATATAAATTTGGGCATTGAGGAAAGATGCTAAGTTGCAGGGTCAAGTTTGTGGATTTCACATCTTTTAGACCACCATTTAGAAACATGATCACTTTGTTTATTAAAGAAGTGAGAATGAATTTAACAGATATACATTGTTAAATATTTTTAAGCACATTTTGATTTAAGAGTTACTTGCAGTTAAGGGGGAGTGCAGCTTTAAAGTGAAGTTAGTTTACTGAAATAATCATGATCCCTAACATTAATGAGCAATTATTAATGTTTCCTCCACTTTTTAAACATATCTGTGGCTAGACAAAGTTAAATGTTAAGTGCTTTTTCTGAACAATATTACGCTTCTTTTTTGATAATTTTAAAAACTTTGTGTTGGTTTGCCTTTCAGCCCCATCTGTATGCAGAGTACCTGAAATTAGCTGACATGGGAGGAAGATGATAAATAATGGAAATAGCCCTTACTGCTTACATTCTATTTTAGTTACAACTAATCTAAGATCCAAGGAGTATCGGTGGGGGGATGAGGAGGACGGAGTGCTGCGAGACAAAATATGTCATAAGTACTCTCTACTTTTGGGTCTTTTATTTTGTGGTTTTGTGTAGAAGCAATAGTGATTCTGAGGAGCTGGTTAAATAAGTAATTTTCATTAATAGCATACATTTGTTGAGGATTTTTAATTGATGCTTGTCTCATATTAGAATAATTTATAACCTTTTACTAGTTATAAAACTATAAAAATCTCTGGGCATGTCACACATTTGTTGGCAATATAAATTGTATTAGTTTCAGTGTTGGTACCTTGTTCTTGTATTAGCATGATGTATTAATTTTTTCATTAGTTCCCACAGCTTGCACATTTGCTACGAGTGCGCCAGCAGAAATAAGACCTTTTTCTCTAACATGTCTGACATGCACCTGCAAATGACAAAACAGAGCTATGGCTAGATTTTAGAAGTTCTTTCGTCACATAATATAAGGAACTTAAACTGATAGTACTTCAGATTTTCCACGTTGTGCGCTTTCAGTGAGTAGTGTATCTGCAGCACAGGAGAGCAGACTTGGCAATGCCAGCTCCATTGTATCTGCAGATGAGGATTTAGAATTCTGTGCAGCAGACAGTACCTCCAGCAGGCGAGTAAAAGGGTACTGCATTATTTTGTTTGTTTCCATAGCCTTTATCTACAAAGGGTTTTTAAACAATTCCATGTGAAGTGCATGCTTGTTTTAGATATTTCAGAAGTTGATTACTTAAGTATAATATGATTATCAAAAGGGCAGTGCAAGGTGAAGGCAGAAGCAATCCTGGCTCTTTTCAGCTTAAATTATTGAAGAAATTGAGCACGAGACATACACAAATAAGGAACCTGTCAATGCCACAGACAATACAAAGTTTCAAAAATAGACATTTTCATACAAGGTGTTTATTATTACATTTAGTTTTTAGAGTCTCGTCCCCCCAAAAGAGTGCTGCTAACACAGATTGGCAGTCAGTGGTCTGTGAATGTTTATTAAGTTGTAATTATTTGAAGTATGATTATTTGAGAAGACCACAAAGTATTTGTATAAATGTGACCTCTCCTGTGACCTGGGAATTATAAACTGGATTATAATTATCTGGTGTAAATAAATACCTTTCTGTACTATCAGGAAAGATAGAATAGTTAGTATAAAAGATGTTATATTATGACTGACATAGTTAATATTATGGCTTATGTTTTCAGGTGGTTGGTGGGTTTTTTTCTTTGTAAATTTTCTAATAAAATGCAAATAACCAAGTGGGAGAGAATTCAGTGTCAAAAATAATCAGATTTTATATGGCTTTTTACTTACTGGCAATACCTATCTGCATAGCTACATGTTCTTTTCTAACATTTATGATAGCAGGGGCCTCCTCGTACTGTCTTGCTTGTTTATTCCATGGTTGTCTGCACCAGTATTTTTGCTAAGAATTTTATTGCTCATTGATTCTCAAGTCGAGGTATAGTATTCAGGGGGAAATTTTTTACTTTGCATATCTTATTCAACCTCCCTCCTACTCTCTGCCACCATTAGCTGCTATCTAAATTCTGTTTGCTTAAAAAATACGTAGGCCTACGTTTCTGTTACTGTTACTTAATTTTAGGTTAAAAGCAACTCTGTAAATGAATCTATGGTACAGAAGTAAAATCAGTTGGTTATTCTTACTGTGAGGGTTTGGCAGGCTCCTTGAATTGTCGAGTCATAAAAGGTCAGCCGTTCTGATTGGTAAGTTACAGAATCCATCCAGCAGTTTGCTCCCTGTTGTTTCTCAAAGCAATGCAGCAGCAGTTCTTTTCCAGATATTGAGCGGTTCTTGCACGGTGTGTGTGGGGACACCGAGGGGTGGGGCTCATTCCTGTTGGTTGTTGAAATAGTATGCATTTACAGAGGGAACAGGTTGGATAGGCTGAGCTGAAGGAGTAGGCAAACAGATCAAAACTGATGGAAGACAGAGTGGTTAGTATAATTTTGGGGTGTCTTGAGTTCACTCCTTTGTTAAGTACTTGGGCTTTAATATAAAACAGTTTGAAATATTAAAGCATCTTACCTTTTCTCTAAAGAGTGGCCAGGAGACTTCTGTTTTTCGTGCTGAGTTTTTCTTGGCGATGAGTTTGTGGCTGGTGTCGTCTGGAGGGAAGCTGTTGTTTATTCTTTTTTAGCAGTGTTTCTTCCAGCCAGAGAGCTGCAGAATGAGGCAGTTAGCCCATTTTGAGTATATATGGGACATTACCGGTTCCAATTTTTAGAGTCAAATTCTCATCTAATGAGCAAGTCAATGTGTGGCTGTGGCTGCAGCATTATTTCTTCTTTAATGAAGAGGTTGAGCCGTTCGACCTGCTGCTCCGATCTGTTCTCTTGTAGCCATACATCAGACCAGGTGCAGAGATTATCCATCGAGTGTCCCAGGCAACCAAAGGTAACTACATAGATTTATTTCAAATAAAAATATACAAGTAAAATGAATGCATTATAACTAGGATCAAATGATTAAAAATAAAAGACCAATTAAAGATGTTCTTAGCAGTTGTCTTGACCTTGCAGTAGCTATCCAATATCATTTTGTCATCGTCAGATTGTGTAGCAATGGAAATGCACTGCAGTAATTGATTTTGTAATAGGATCAGGTGATTTACTAGCTGCACTGACAACCACTTGCTTGCTTGCTCTGAATGTGGAGCACTCTAATGGATGTTGTGATTGCAGCCTGGAGCTGATGGGAGACTGCTGGCCACTTAAAGCAGCAGCACTTATTTTTGAAATCGGAATAGTTTTTCCTTGCTTTTAAATTTTGAGCAGCTTCAGTAATTTCGTATAGTTGATTTGAGTGCCCCATGATATTTTAGAGATTATATATTATTCCACTGAATAATTCATAAAAAGATCATTGATATGATTAGCCATGAATATAACAAAATATAATCTCTCTGCTCCACACTCCTAGCTCAGTATCAACATATATATATCAGCATACTCTGATATTGACCCTGAGAGCACATCACTAACATATAAGAGTTTCTGTTCGCTATTGTCTACTATATAAATGAAGTAGAATTTTCTTAGCAGTTACGAATTTCATAAGTTTCCAACATTAGCTGTGGTTACAATGTTGGAATTGTAGTAAACTCTCTTGAGTTGTGATAGAGTTGCTTTGTATCACTTTTTAGTCTTGCTTTCCTAGTATTATAGATAAAACAACATTTTGGAAATTGTTTTGTCATTTCTAGGAATATTGATGAAAATATGTAATAGGTACTTTAAAGTAATGTTTAAGGATTCCACAAATTAAAAATGTGATATCTAAGGTTTTGTAATATCCAGAATTATGGAATTTCACAGTAATTAGATTTTAATAATTTTCAGTCTATATTTTATGCCTTTTAAACAAATGATTACAAATGTGAAAATATAGGACTAATGCTTATATGGACAATGGATATAGTTTGCACAAAGCAATAAGACTCAGGTGCTATCCAGGACCTTCCCTAACTTTACATTTTGCTTAGGGCAAAATGGGTAAGAAAATCTCTCCTCACCTTCTTTCATCACCTGCACTACTTCCTGTTTACTGTAAAGTTTTTCATATAGAACCTGACACTATTATTCCCTATTTTTACCCAACTATATCTAAGGACATTTATAATAACTAAATAGTATTAATAGTTTATCATAGCATAAATCAAACATAAAATTATGTTTGTATATGATATTCAAGCCATCATGTGAAGAGAGCTTTTGTTTCTGATGTACTCAAACAACTGACCCTTAGTGTCTGGTGATACACATTCTGCATGTGTCCCTGAATTCAGGTACTTATGGAAGGTTGTAATATAATTTAAATGCTAACCTTTGTGATCTTTTGTTATTCAGAAGGTAAGTTTTTAGAGGACTCCTGCATAACTCCAGCCTCAATCTTTTTGTGAATGTTGATAACATGAGCATAAGGATATTAATATTTTTTTTTGACAGGCAGAGTGGACAGTGAGAGAGAGAGAGAGAGAGAAAGGTCTTCCTTTGCCGTTGGTTCACCCTCCAATGGCCGCCGCGGCCGGCGCACTGCGCTGATCCGATGGCAGGAGCCAGGTATTTATCCTGGTCTTCCATGGGGTGCAGGGCCCAAGTACTTGGGCTATCCTCCACTGCACTCCCTGGCCACAGCAGAGAGCTGGCCTGGAAGAGGGCCAACCGGGACAGAATCCGGTGCCCTGACCAGAACTAGAACCCGGTGTGCTGGTGCCGCAAGGTGGAGGATTAGCCTAGTGAGCCGCGGCGCCGGCTTAGGATATTAATATTTGAGATTTGGTTAAGGCTGTGACTGAGTTTCATGTCTATTGAAAATGTAAACTGATGGACTGCCATCATTGACGTAAATTTCACTGAAGTGCTATACATTAAATCTGCCTTCTCCCCACCCCCACTCCCTTTTGTTTTTCCAGTGGGTTGAGCAAATAGGAGGAAAGGAAGTAAATACCAGAGTGCTGAATACTTTTTTTAAAAGATTGATTATAGAAGACTAAAGAGGATTGAATGTGTACTACAGTGGTTAAGACACACACATCCCGCGTACGAGTGTCTGGGTTTGATTCTCCGCTCCAGCTCCTGACTCCAGTTTCCTACTAATCCAGACTGTGGGAGGCCACAGTGATTGCTTAAGTAGTGAGAGACCTTGATTGTGTTCCCAGCTCCTGGCTCTAGCCAGCCAGCTTTGGCAGGGATTTGGGAATGGACCACTGGATCTTCCTTCTCTTCCCCTCTCCCTCTCAAATAAACAACTTTTTAAAAAAGATAAAAGATACTATTGTAATTTTGGAATTAGTATTTCTTGTAAAATAGATGTGTGGTGTACATTGTGAAGTTCTAGTCTCAGTGGAGCAGACTTTTCTAAGCATTAAAAGATCTGGAGTTAATCTGACACTAATCTACTTGATGACTGATCTATTTATATCCATTCATATATTTATATATATATATATGAAAATTTAAAGCTTTCTTAAACATATTTTTAAAATGTCCATTAAAAAGAAAGTGATTTACCCTTGTCAAGTGTGAGGTAATGATAAAACTTGACCTAACGGTTATGGAATTTGGAGTTGGAAGAAGGATGAAATTTGAAGAATCAGGTTGAGAGTGATGATGCTGTTTCCATTAACTGTGCATGTCTTTGCTGGGGGAAGGAAGATTGAGAATAAATGTTTTTGCTAAGAATATGGTTTTACCTTTGTGATATCCAGTATCCTCTAAATAGGATAGTTATCCTTTAAATTATCCTAATTGTTAAAGAACACTTGGAATTGAATTCTGATACTGCCAATTTGTCCTAGGTTCTCAAAAAAGATAATGTCATTAAAGACTGTATTCACCCCATTACATATCTTTTGAAAAGTATTTTTTTGCCTTTTTATTTTAAAATATTTAAATAATGCAGAATAGTATAAAAAAGAGTTCAACAAATACAGATTTTAAAAACATTTAAATTTTGCCATATTCATATGAAAAAATAATGCAAACATTATACACACAAACATTCATACTAGTTTTTTGAATTGGGGTAAATATATTAATATCACATAATGTGGAAATCATGACAAAGATCATAAAATGAGTTAAGAAAGATATATTATTATGAAAGGGAATAATTCATTGAAAATAGCATTTATATACCAAATAACATGGTATGTACACTTTAAAAATTATTATATATCTATTATTATATCTATTATTATATATATAAACCAATATCCACATAAGAGAACAAATGTGGTATGTGTCTTTCTGTGTCTGACTTACTTTACTTAGCATGATGATCTTCGGTTTCATCAGTTTTGTTACTGATGTCAGGATTTCGTTTTTTAATGGCTGAGTATTTTTCCATTGCATAAATATACCACATTTTCCTTATTCATTCATCCATTGGTAGACATCTAGGTTATTACTAATCTTTTTGTTAAAGCAGCTAGCCAGTATATTACTGATACTCTACTCTCTTCATACATGATTATTGGATAAGCTGTATAGTGTTCTCTTTGTTACCTAGATGAAGAGGCTTATGGATTTGTTGAATTAAGTATTTTAGCAGTGATGGTCATGTAATAATAATTGTAACATTTATTGACCCCTTACTTTGGACCAGGTGCTAATTACTGTGTTAATTACATCCAGTATAGGGAAGTACTCTAATGGTTATTATTTTTTAAAAAGATTTGTTTATTTATTTGAAAGACAGAGTTACAGAGAGGCAGGGAGAGAGAGACAGATCATCCATCCTCTGGTTCACTCCCCAGATGGCTGCAACGGCAGGAGCTGAGCTGATCTAAAGTCAGGAGCCAGGAGCTTCTTCTGGGACTCCCATGTGGGTGCAGGGGCCCAAGCACTTGGGCCGTTTTCTGCTGCTTTCTCAGGCCATAGCAGAGAGCTGGATTGGAAGTGGAGCAGCCGGGACTAGAACCAGCGCCTATATGGGATGCCGGCACTGCAGGCACCGCCTTTACCCACTTCGCCACAGCTCCAGCCTCCTACTGGTTATTTCTAAAGATGAGGAAACTGAGAGTCAAAGTGATTCTCTAACTTAAAATCACACAACTAGGAAATAGTAGACTCAGTGTTAGAACTAACACTTGTCGCTCCCCCTCTTCGTGGAGGAACGACACAGGACCCTGCGCTGTTCTTTTGTCTGCTCGGCCCTTCCCGGGTTTGCTGCTGGTTCTTCCCGGGTTGGCTACCGACCCTTCCACCTCCGTGGAAGGGCGGTTCTCCCTGGCCACTTTCCCCACTTCCGCGGGGGAGCGGCACACCGCCGGCCGGCTCTCTCGGAGGCTGCACAGGTGTTCCTTCAGGTAGATGTTCCCCTTAGATGTTCCTGGTGCATGTTGTCTCTCTCCTCCTTTATAGTCCTCTTCCGCCAATCCCAACTCTGCTACCCACACGCCGAGTACGCTGCTCTCCTCCAATCAGGAGCAGGTCCTACAGTTTATTGGTTGAACTGGAGGCAGCTGTGTAGAAGCTGTTTCCTCCTCTCCCAGCGCCATATTGTGGGAGAGCAGATGCATAGAATAAGTCTTAATTCCAGTAACTTAGTCTAGTCCGAGTTGCTCCCAGTTGTTCCCCACAACACTTTCAAATATTGTTCCCCGTAATTATGATACAATACTGCAATAATATATTTTTCAGGTATTGATAAGTATGCTTTCAATTGCACTCAGTGACAAAATGAAATTTTGGTCTGAAGGCATTAAATGATAACCTAATTTTTCTGTCTTGAATAAGAAATAAATGATGTGTTCATCTCAGCAGTAATTATTCATGTCAAGCACATTGGTACACTATTTAGGGTAAGGTTTCTCAGAATGTGGGTAAAGGATCATTTGCAACTATATCACTCAGGATGGTGGTTAAAACTGTAAGTTTACACCAGGAGTCATAGAAAGAATTTCAAAAATAATAACCAGGAATCTTCACTTTTAAGGATAATACTTATATATACCAAATTTTTAAAACTATGGATGTTGAGAATGTGCTTCTATTTTATTGTCTTTTTGTCCATCAACTTTCCTTTCTTTGAGAATTATTTTTTGAACCATGGATGATTTGTAAAACTATCCTCAGGCTGTTAGAAGCAATTTTGAGGTGAAATGAGCATCTCATAAACTAGTGATGAATGTAAATTGAT